TTTTAAGAACTGGATGAAGACTTTTTAAAAAAAAAAAAATGACCAGGTATATTTTATTGTGGTTCTGATGCTTCTTGACTTAAGAATTTTGTTTTCAATTTCACTTACTCTTTGCTTTTTAAAACCTGTTTTTGATACAATTTTAATATCACTTTTACTTCTTGCTGTATGGTGAGCTGCCCAATCAATATGGGACTGAGTCCTTCAGTTTCACTGAAATATATAGACTATTTTCAATGCTTAAGTTTCCAGCTTATGGATACAGCTTTTTTCTTTCCCCTCCCTAAAGACATAATTAGGTCAACCCTGTTAATTAGTCCTACAGTATGAGCTCTTTTCAGGCATTCAGCTATTCTAATTATGAAGCTGACTTAAGCACCTGTCACTTTTCCCCTTCAAACCTTAACATGGAAAGTCTGAAATTAAAATATAACCTAAGAACCAGCAGCTGAATGCAATTACACTGCCCTGAACAATTAGAAACCTTGTGCAATCAAGACGCCTAATGCAACTAGCTTTTTACTACCAGTATAAAAAGGAGGTGGTAGGATCAGAGCTGGTATTCCTTTTTTTTCCACATACTTTGAAAATGGTTATCTTATTTCAGTCCTGTCTCTGTCAGTAATTTCAGGTCTGTTAAATCACATTGCAGAAGACTTGGATGAAGAATCCTCAAGAGAAATTAGGCAGTCTCATAATGAGGTTCCTCCCAGCCAGAGAGCACAGCCTTGCTAATATCTTCTAATTCAGACAACAATTTCCTGGTAATACTGGCAATGTGGCTGGGATAAGATTTGCCCATCTAGCTTGCGAGGGTGAGAAACTCAGCCAGGAGGACCTACTGTACTTGGAACTGTCCATAGTCCTGCTGTCTTGTCTGGTGAACCAGGCTTTGCTTGCTATTCCTGGTTCAAAGCAAGTTAAAGACCACATTATGAAGGACGTTGGTGTGAGAAAAACTCCTTTCCTTGATGTGTTAAAGCAGCTTTGTTTTCCAGAAATCTTAACAAAATGGTTTTAAAGATCTTCTCCAATTGTATGCATGGATTTGTATTTGTGAGTATACATAGAAATGACTTCCACAGGAATGTCCAATGAAGAGATGTCATGCACAAGGATGGCTGTGCATGTACACAATCCCATTAATCTTGCTTGACTTCCCCAGTGAGTCTTAAGGACCTATAGAATAGAATAGAAGCAGTGCCTTGCCACACTTTTACATAGTGGAGCTTTCAAAGCATAGATAATTTGCACAGGCCTAGTAGTTACTAACTTCATCTTCAAAAAGAAACAATAAAAACACTTTGTCAAAGATTTCTGTGAGTTCACATCATAATACTTTATGAACTACAAATGATCATTTGTTTTCAGTAGCCATATCCTGCCCTAGAGAGATTTTATGCACTTTGAAGCAGAAGAAAAATGGGCATAATTTTTCTCAGGCTGCCAGGAGACACTAAATGCAAAAGGAATCAATTTATATACTCAATCAGGTTCACAACACAAGAGGGTCTGGAACATAACCAATATTTCTAGGTGAATTGATAAGAGCCATTTGTGCAATTCCCTGCCCATCTGCACCAACACTGTTACCAGTCATGGAATAATTCACCATTCAAACCATTGTATATTGTCTTGCACAAGTTTTGTTTTAGGATCCAGCAAAATCAACAAAAATGAGGGATGCCTTTCAGCACTGTCTATTGCAAAGCACTACTTTGGCTGGAAGAGCCAACACTCTTCTGAGCTTTGAGAAACTCTTGGGTTTTTCTCCGAGGCAACCACAAGCTGTCAAGAGCCTCCCATATTCATTATGGAGAAAAGGAAATGTATTACAAAAGATCAACAGATCCTTAAATTTCAGCTGGAGCCCTTAGGGCAATGGCAGGTTAAAACAAAACAAAAAACAAAGCTCAGTTTCCATAGGGATGCAAAGGTATTTTGTCTCTTCTGGAGGTGGGGAAATTAAAACATAAAAGTAAGTATAATAAGCCTATCAGTGGAAAACAGTTTGGAAAGTCATGCTGTTGAATTTAGATTTCTGTTACTTATTTTCTACAGTATAATCTCAGGGTGAGGGAAGCATTTGCCCATTAAGTGGCCTACACATCTTTATTCAATTGCAGTTAGGAGGAAGAAGATAAAAATTAAAATCCAAATTAAAACCTGAATGACTTTTTTTTGTGTGTGTGCCAGGGTTGACTCCTGACAGCTGGCTGCACAGGTCCTTGCAGTTTTCTTGGCAAGATTTCAGAAGTGGATTGTCTGCTTCCTAGGGCTAAGAGAGAGTGACTTGCCCAAAGCTGACTTTGTGCCTAAGGTGGGACTAGAACTCACAGTCTCTTGCCTGATGCCTTAACCACTACATCAAACTGTCTCTCTAAAGTGACCATAACTAAAATAACTAAAATCAACAACTGAAATCAATATTTAGGGTTGATCAGGGTTCTGACTTTCCCTCATGGACCCAAATTGTTTATGGCTTTCACGGTCAGAACCAGTTCATTTCATTTCTCCCAGAAACGAGTTGTTTTTAGCCTAGGTGCAATGTGGCTAACCACTTTGTTCTGTGGATTCCTTTTATAGTTGACCAAACAAGGTAGCCCATGGGCAGATCAACATCCTCTTTCCCCCTCGTTCAGGAGCATTCCAGTCATCTGTAGGTGAATGACTTGAGTGATTATTATCTAAACAGCTTGAAATAATAAATACACAGTGGAGTTGCTAGTTCTTTTTCTTCCTTCTCTTCCTACTAGGCCCAGAGTGAAGGCAGTAATCATACAGTTGAATTGCTTAGCAACCACAGGTAAAAAAACAACAACAACAAAAGTTAATAAGTCATAATTTATATGTGAAACGATTGCAGGGGGTTAGAAGCACATTTCTGGTGCAGTTAGACTTCATGCTGAGCATCCTTTCCCCTTCTGACAGAAGATTCAAATCACTGCCATATACAATGTTTCTAAGATGTAAATTGAACAGTGACCTGTCAAATAGTCTTCTGTCTGGTGATTTGTTGCACTTTTACATATTAGCCTATACAGGAACTTCTGTAAATCATCCTAACTCTGAAAACAAGCAATGTGAACAGCTTCCTAATAGTTCACAGTGCTGAATCAATCTTACTAGAGCTAAACATAGTAGATAAATGCAGATCTGGAGCCTTATCAAGTAGTCTAATGAAAGGTTTTGCTGTCAAAAATAAACAAGTGAATAACATCAGGTTGCCAAGTATACTGTATATGGAGATGGAATAAGTATTTTTTTATACGCTCATTAATCAAATCCAAATATTCAATCTCTTTGACAAATAGTAAATTACAGTTCCATGGCTCTTGTGAATTTCCATTTGAATAATTCAATTTGATTCAGTAAATCTGATCTGGTACATGTGCTTCAAAAAATATTTAATTAAAATCAGACACTATGCTTCCATTGCTGTGACATGATATGACATAGCCAGCCAATCACATAGAAAAACTTTCCAGATGGCATCTGTGATTATCCATTATTCAGCTCATTTCAGATAGTCTTCTAACAGCACAATCAAGTTGATTATACACTTACTCAAATTAAATTTAAGTACCTGGATTTACAGAGATTTATTCACATAATTGCCTCCATATGGATAACAGATCTATGGAAATTCAAATAAAGAATTCCTGAATTGGATTCCAATCTAGACACTTGTAATCAACTGGAAGAAATAGACTTTGTGTCTCATCTGGTGCCAGTTATTACCTATGAAGCCCTGTATGGTGTAGGGCCTGGCTACCTGAGAGACTGCTTATCTCCAACTGTTTCTGCCCGCCCAGTATGTTCCAGCAGAGTGGATGTGCTCCAGGCCTCCTCCATTAAACATTGGCGTCTTGTGGGACCTAGGAAATGTGCCTTCTCTATAGCAGCTCCCACCCTCTGGAACAGCATCTCCCCAGGGGTAAGGATGGTGCCCTCTCTCCTGGGGTTCCGGAAAGGTTTGAAAACCTGGCTTTGGTCCCAGGACTGGGGTTGATGTTTATTATTTGTTCCATAATAACTTGTTTTTTTGCTGTCCATATTTTAGTCTGGGCTGTCTGTGTGATTTAATGCTTTTGGCTGTTTTTATGTTTTCCCTAGTTTCGTATGTTGCTCAGAGTCCCTTGGAGTTGGGTGGCCAATAAATTTAAATAAATAATAAAAAATAAATAAATCTTCATTTCCCTTCCATATTCCACTAAAGACTGGAACCATTTTAAATGGGAAAAGGTGTGGAGAAAGGGAGGAAAGTAGAATTCCTGAAGATCAGATGTTCACCTTTGTAGGTGAAGTTCTTTTCATAGAAGCTATTTCTTATGAAGCCTGATACTTATGTCTACCTATTTCAGAATGGTCCCTTGATCTGCTGTGTAGCATTTCTAAGAGATTAGAGAGGGTCTTGAAGAAATACAGCTAATGAACTCCCCTCAGGGGGAGATGGGTGGCATACAAATTTAATAAATAAACTCTGCTTCTACCAGCCTCATCATATGTATCTATTGGATTCAATTCAATATGTACAAAGAAAGATTATCAGCATCTAATGGATGCTAATCAGTTCATTCCCTCTAAAGGAAATGTTAAGCAGAGTTTGTTATTCAAAGGCAAATAAATAAAACATTACTATATATTTTCTCTTTTCTTAGTAAATGAACATACAGTGATAAAAAAGAGAAAGATTTGGTAATATTATTGGCATTCCAACTACTTCCTAAGTTATTTAGGCTTGATGCTATCTCTTTTCAATGGAGAGAGCTTAGTATAGCCTATCTCCATATCATCATAGTCTCTTGTATTTCAATATACCTATTACTGTCTGAAATTCTTTAAATTCAGTATATCTCTGTATTTTTTTTAATTCAGTAAACTCTATACATTTATCTGTCCCCCCATCCCTATCATCTAATCTAATCCAATCTAATCATCTAATCTAATCTGAAATAGCAGTTGCTCTTTTACAAAAAGCCCAATGCCAAAATTATCACCTGCAGCCACTGTGACTGGTCACTATGCCCTGATGTCCAGGCATTCACTTTGCCTTGTTTGTCTAGTCGAGCTTTCCTGGGTTCCCACGTGAACATATCCATGTTGAGTGTTCTGAAGATACTGGAAGCAGTGATCTGATAATCCTGTATATGTCCTGATTTCATCCCCAGAGGCTCAGAACAACCTAAAGAAATGAAAGAAGATGTTTGAAAAACTAAAGGGGAGTGACCTGTAAATTCTGACATTGTGTTCAAGCATGTATTTATTAAAAGTGCTCAGTTTTACTGAAGGCAATGGAAGTCCAGTTATTACATTTAACTTTTGAAGAAATAAACATCATTTTAGATTACTATTTTGAAACTGAGAAGAAAGCAACAGAAGATTTCATGTATATGCTCAGTTTATTTATCAGTTAACTAAAGATTTATTCAGATGTTATAAATTTCAACCCTGAAAGGAAAAATGAGCAGTGTTCAAGCTGCAGACATTCAAAGAAGTGCTATAGAGATAGCACGAATGTATTTTAAAAGAAATTTTTCCATTCTCTGTGAAAAAAACAGAAAGAAAATTAAACTTCTTTCACAGGAAATAAGACAAACCCAGTTTTTGGGCTGTATTTTGGCACCTAAAATTCTCAGGTTATCTATGAATATATAAGGTACCCCTTTTACTATAACCAGTGGGGTAGTTAGGTAACTTCAAATTATGGTCAAATTATGGACTTTGCAAGGCCGTATTGTGGACTTGCAGAATGGCTATATAAATGATTGTATTTTTTCACTTAATTCTCAGAGGGGAAAATATTTAGAAGTTAATGTGCTTTTATTTCTTACTTCTAAATGGGGTAAGGCAGGTCTCCCTCTTGCACTAGATATCTGCCCAAAATTTTGCTCTGAGAAAATAACTGTTTGTGGTATTTTATGAAACAATCAACATGTATTTAGACATATGTTAAACTTCCTGGAGTTCTTAATTAGTATCATTTATAAAAGTTCCAAAGGTTTTACATGTAGATATTGAACAAAATTTCACTTTTTCTTACTGTAATAGAATATTAACACTCTTTTATTTTAGTACTTCTAGATTTCTGTACTAAATTTAATTAACATCTTTTTGCAGCTAAAGGAATTCTAAATTTTAAACCATTTAAAACTGTAGTTCAACAATTCATTAGCAAAAACTGCTTAATCACTGAACAGCAACAAAACATTTTAATGGGTCATAAAATAAGATTTATTTATTTAAAAAGATGTATATGACTGCCCATCTTGTGAGACACAACTCTGGGTGGCTAACAGCAGTAATAAAAACACAAGAAAACTACACAACAGAAACAAGAAAAGTCAGGCACCCAGTCCAACAACTACTCTACATCTATCCAGCTGTACAGTCCCCCATGCTCTAGCTTTACTATCCCAATGCTTGGGTGAAAAGTCAGCTCTAAATGGTTTTCTGGGATCTCAATGGGAGGGTTGTTCCACAAGGCAGGGGCCACTATGGAAAAGGCAAGCTTCTTAGGTCCCACGAGATGACAACTTTTGAGGGAAGGGATCTGGAGCATGCCCACTCTATCCAATTAAGTGGGATATGAAGACAGCAAAGGATTTGTATATCAGTCTTTCTGCCTTAAGTGGTGGCAGTCTGAGGTACTATCTCTGAATGTGAAGAATTATTTTCAGATTAGAAAGAGCTTGCCTATACTAGTTAACCAAGCTAAGGGACAGCTGACACTTTATTTAACCAGTTCATTAATTTGTATTTATTCATTAATAGTCAGAGACTGGTGATCCAAGATAAAATTCACTCAGTATATCTAGAGATGAAATTAATAGTTAAACATTCATAGTAATAGCTATAGTGCCACTATTTTAATGCCCAACAACTTTTATCTTCCACGGCAGCAATCAGAACTAGACCATGGCATCCTTACTACTGTACAATCATGATTGAATACAACTAGAGAACTGTTCTAGAGTTTTTGCTGACAAGTCAGCCAATAGTAAGATTATATCCTTTGCCTTTGACAGAAGGGTTATAGGTGAAGGTGCCAATCTTGAGAAAATAGTCAAAGAATGCTGTGGGTACACACTCTGAGAGAGAGCAGAAGGGGAAGAACTAGATAATGGCATTCTCAGAGGCGCTTATGAGCATGAAACTGAGCAAACTCAGGGAGGCAGTGAAGGACAGGAAGGCCTGGCGCAATATGGTTCATGGGGTCACGAAGAGTCGGACACGACTTAACGACTAAACAACAATAAACAACAGAGGCGCTTTGGAGCAGCTTACCCCTTGAGGTCAGGTCAGACATCAGCACTACCCTTTCATACTTCAAGAAACAGTAAAAATTGTCCCCTTCTGCAGGGCTTTTAGGCTGTCAGTTTTAATGGAAGACAGCCACAGCTATTAAAAATTTTAATGATTGGTGGATTTTACATAACTTTTTAAGGTAAGTGTTGTAAGCTGCTTAGCACTGTTTGAATCAGTGGCATACATATACTTGTAATAAATTAATAAAGACAGCTATTATTCTAGGTCACCTAGCTAATGTAGATTGCTGATGGAAATAATTACCACTTCCATTGTTGTGAAACAGAGCAACAATGAGATGATGTGAACCAGAAAACTAAAAAGCTGTTCTAGTCCCCTCAAATTCTCCACTCCATTACCCTGTGACTGGGATGGCTTATCATAGCCTTATCATTAGGGTAACAAAACTCATACGAAAAAGCATGACAAAATCTGGGAGGCATCTGATTAGGATATTGCATGCTATGGAGCCCTTGAAGCCAAATGGATTAATTTCAGTCCTGTCTGCTTCACCTGGATACATTAAACTCTGATCTTAATTACTCAACTCTGTGGAGGATTTTGTGAGAGAGATCAGTTCAACTTCCAAGAGCCTGCTTGAATTCAAGGAGATATATGAATATGTAAATTATCTGAAGATCTTGAAAAAGTGGCCTTTTAAGGACAATTGCAAATATACTACTGAAAATAGGGCCACCATTGGCTTCATCCACTTTCCATATGCCAATAAATCTGATGTAGCCAGTGCTTCTTTTGCTTGATAGAGTTAGAAGGCTGGGATCCAATCAGAACTCAAATGGGGTTTTGTCCTTTCAAAGAATTTTGATGATTTGACAATAGAGAATTATTAGGAGATTGAGAGAGATTTTCTTTTGCAAGACTGGCAGAGATACAACAAACACCTTTGAAAAAGAAGAAGCCCTAACTAGGAAATGTCCACTATGGTGGATCATATCATGAATAACTACCAGTATACTCCAGAAGCAGAAGCCACTTGCAGCAAAAGACAATTTTGTGTTTAGCAACAACTGGAAGAGAATCGACTGAAGCTGACACTCTCTTCTGATGACAAGCACAGTAAGATGTAAAGACATATATCTATTAAAATGTGAAAAAAGGCATGACCTGTAATACTGGATAATATGATATGGGTGAAAATCTTGGGATATCCATGTATACTCCCCATGCTGTAATTGTGTATCATGCTTGTTCTGCATGATCTAGTAAGAAAACAGGAAAGACAGTATTTCTGACTTATGGAAGAACTGTAGGAGGAGAACCATGTTAGCCTATGGTAGCAAAAAAAATCAGGAGGAGTCTGGTAGCACATTTTCTAACACATTTTATTAAAAGGCATAAGCTTTTGTGAGCTGCCACTCACATCTAAATGGAAAAGTTACTATCAGATGCCTGATTTTTTGTTGACTTATGGAAGAAAGCATTAAACTAGGAAGAAGTGTATGAATAATTGAAGGATGGAATTTAAAATAAAGAATTAAAAATACTCCACTTTCTCTTGGGATTTGGATTACAAGTATTAATTGAAAGTATTAACAAAAAAGTATATAAATATGAATCAGTTTATTGTCAGTATGAAATTATTGCACTGTGCACATTCTAAGCAAATTCATGAAGGTTCAAGGAAAAATATTCCTTTAGATATATAGTTTAATCTATGTGTTCATGATTATTATGTATTAATGTGTTCAGATGAACAGGAAATTAAACATGACAACAGTTTAAATCAGTTTCTTCAGCTGGTAGTTATAGGGGATGAGTGGTCAAGGCCTTGCCTACTCCAGTGTGGAATGTTACAGGGTTTGGCCCTATTCCCTATGCTAACTAACATCTATATGAAATTGCTGAAAAAGATATGCATTGGTTCTCAGTGAGGCATCATCAATATGCTGACACTCATTCTATTTCTCCTCCCTGGGCAAGCTAGAGATGTTGCAGATATCTTGAATTGGTAGTCAGAGGTTGTAAGGGTCTGAATAGGAAGAAACAACCCTATCTAGGTGGAGTCGCTATTTGTTAGTAAGTATCCAACAGCATCAATTCCAGTGGTGGCTCTTGACAAGGCCATGCTCCTCCTGAAGGATCTAGCCCATGAACTGGGAGTTCTCCTGGACTCATAGTTCCTGCTCAGATAGAAGGAGAAAGCTGTGGCCTTCTTGCAGCTTCATCTGGTGCATCAGTTATGACATTACTCAGACCAGGAAACTCTGATGACAGTATATAATTGGACTATTAGAATGCACTGTAAATGAGTCTGCCAGGATAACTCAGAAGCTAGAACTGGTCCAGAATGCAGTGGCCTGGCTGTCAGCCAGGGAAACCTGCTACTACAGATTACACCTTTTCTTAGGTTGCTACATTGGTTACAGGATGTATGCTTCTGAGGCTAATTGAAAGTGGTGGTCATTACATATAAGGCTTTATACAGTGAGATGCTTGGATATATCAGGGACCTCCTTACCAAACATTAATCTGACTATGCAGTCTGGTCATCAAGAGAGGACCTACTGAGAATTCTGCTGACAAAATGTTTTTTTAATAAGTCTTCCTACACTTTGGAATACTCTGACCCCACAGTTACAGCTGGCTCAGACTCCCTATTCCTTTAGAAAAGCACCAAATACCTTTTTATTCCAGGCATAATAATGTCCTGATTGCCATTGTTAAGTGAGGAGCTCACATGACCGTGACTTCTGACTTCCTACCGGTTTTCCCATTGACTTTGTGGGAAGCCAGTAGGGAACTTTGGATATTACAATCACATGACCATAGTTTGCTGCAACTTTGTAATTGTGAGCCAGGCACTGAGTGCCCAGATTATGATCACATGTTTCTGGGGATGCTTCAAGGATCTGTTGTAAGTACCATTTGTTCAGATTCAGTGCCATTGTGACCTTGAATGGTCACTGAATGAACTGTCATAACCTGAGGACCATCTGTAGTCAAAAATGTGAAGTCAAAGTTTCCTTCAAATCAAGCTTGACTCCTGATATCAGCTGCACTTGGCTCAGGTTCAGTTACGTATTTACATATCAGAATCTGCCCACCCTTGCTGTTGGTGGCACAAATGACTTCTGCGCCCTACTGGTACTGTATTTAAAAAATAAGTCAAAGCAGCACTTTTCTAGCAAGCATTTGGCCCTTAGGTTAATTGAAAAGGGCCTTTGTTGTATTGATTTTTTATTGTTGATATATATTTTAGTGCGCTTGTTTGGAATTTGTTGTACATAACCCAGCGTCTTTGAACTGAGATAGGCTACAAATATTGTAAATTGACATTGTATATTTATAATCCTGTCTCTATGTTCCTCTGTGATAAAAGTCAAATAGATACTGGGCCTAAAACAACTGGTTATGTCTTCCTTCTTGGAGAAGAGTTAAGATCTTGTCTAATATAAGTTGGGGGAGACTGTATCAGACAACAATATGTGTAATAAGAATCTGCATGCATTGGATCACAAACTGAATATGAGCAGCTGTGCCATGCATCTGCAAAAAAATCATATTCAATCCTTAGCTGCATCAACAGAGATACACTGTCAAGATCAAGAGAAACCATGTCTGTACTGGGTACCGCATTTTAGAAAGAACAATGACAAACTGGAGTATCCAGAGATCACCAGCTAAGAAGATAAGGGTCCTGGAAATGAATGAACGAATGAATGAATGAATGAATGAATGAATGAATGAATGAATGAATGAATGAAACAGTTGGAGCCATTGGGTATATTTAGCTTGGAGAAGGGGAGACATAGTAGCAATCTTCAAGTGTCTGAGCCCTGTCATGTAGCAGATGGGCAGAAATGTTCAGAGTTATTTCAGAAGATACAACAAGAAACTGTGGATTTAGGAGGGAAGATTTCATTTGGACATCAGGAAAAAAAATTCACAATAGTAAGAGCTGTTCAAGAATGGAACAAATTGCCTTGGGAAATGGAAAACTCTTCTTCACTGGTGGTATTCAAACATAGTTTGAATGACCATGGGATGCTGCAGTAGTAGATTCTTGCACTGTGGAGAGGTAATTAGAAGAGCTCCAAGATCTCTTCCAGTTTATATATTATATCTGTTTCTTAACCTAGGCAATTTCAAGATGTGTGGACTTCAACTCCCAGAATTCCTCAGTCAGTGTTGAAGTTGAAGTCCACACATCTTGAAGTTGCCAAGGTTAAGAAACATTGCATTATATGATTTTATACTTCATGCTCCACTTCCATAGGAATTCAGGGAAAATTCTTGATTTTCCTCCTAGTTATAATTTTGTAGAGGGGAAATAATACACCCTGACCTTCAAAGATACTTAAGAGGCCCTGGCAGTTCAGAGCACCTGCAGAGAAAATGTAAGCTCTAAGCTATATTGAATATCTGCTGAGAAGTGCTGAAACTCAGTGTAAAAATATAGGCCATCTTTGAATTCCTTTTCAGCTTCAAGCTGGAAAGGAAAGCATGGCCTTGGATGCTTACCATAGGGGTGCACACACATCATGGTGGCCATGAGGGAATCATCATGCTTATCTACCATACATATAGCTGCAGTGTAGTTATACAATATATTAAGGGAGTAAAAGAAAGCAACCTGTCTGTGGCAGCCTTTCTTTCTCCCTCTCAATTTGGGTAGATTTTTGATCCCAGAAGAAGGTAATAGACCACTTCCATAATATTGCTCCAAAAACTACAAGGATAAATCCATGAAAGTTCCAGGAACTTTGGAATTCTGGGAGCTGAAGTCCACACTTCTTAAAGTTTCCAGGTTTAAAAAACACTGCTTTAGACCTTTGATATATACATGGGCTTTACCTGTGGATGTTGGAACCCTGGTGATCATTGGTGTTTTTTGTTTGTTTGTTTTATAAACAAAATAATTATTTTAATTACATTTTAATTATACTGTTTTTAAGTCTTTGTTAGCTTCCTTGACCAACATGTACTAGTGGAAAATTATGATATAAATGCCAACAATGTGAAAACAATAAATGATTTGTTTTTATTCATTTTCAGTGCTGGCTGTATATCTTTATTCTACTTTTTTTTTTAATTTATTGATTTAGGTTTAATTTTGGATCTGAATGTATTTCTTGTATTAAAACAAACAACTATTAGATTCCTTCACAATTAGTGACTATAAAAAGAGATAATGATTTAAATTTAGATAGGATGATAAAATATAAGAGAAGGGAAAAAAGGGGAGTGGTGTGCTCCAGTAGGAGAATAACAGATAAATGGAGGAATAATAAAAATGTGTTTTTAAAAATGTTAAATAAATAAATAAAGAATGCACAAATTGCATTAGTTTTGATATATTTATATAGTTGTACATAAATTCATAATAAGGCACTTGTAAATAATATTTACAAATAATACAAAGAAAATTTGTATTCCAAGAAAATACCGACCTGATAATTCACAGCCAAGAAGTTCCATTCGCAAAGTACAATGCCTTCTACAGACTTGAGGATACAATCGTATATACTGAGATTTTATTGGTGGGGTGAAAGAATTTGCATAAGGTGTATTATTATCCACATTTCCATGGAATACCTGCAACAGTACACAATAGGTTTTAGTCACACCTGACAGATGTAACAGGCAAATATAGAAAATTAATTATTAATTTATTAATTCAATGTATAGGTCTGCCCAATTGACTAGTGACTCAAGGTGGCTTTCAAGAGGGTTAAAAAACACAAATTAACAATGCCCTAAAAGGTAATAGCCATGCTAGATAAAAGCTTACAATGCAGATGCTCCAGCAAGTTTTACAATTTGCCCTGTTCCAGTGCTTCCTGGAAGAGCCAGGTTTTTAAGGCCTTCCTAAAGGACCACAGGATCACAGCTGTACAGTCCTCAGGGGGATTGCAAATCCAAAAGCCAGGTGTGATGACAGAGAAGAGGGCGTTGACATGGTGAGATGTCTGACATTGTTTTATTGATGGGACTTGGAACCTGTCAACCCTGCCAGATCATATAGGATAGGCATAGATCATTGGAGACAGGTGACCTCACAGATATCCAGGCCCTATGCCAGTGTTGTCCAAACTTGGCCGCTTTAAGATGAGTGGACTTCAACATGGCTGGCTGGGGAATTCTGGGAGTTGAAGTCCACTCATCTTAAAGTGGCCAAGTTTGGACAACACTGCCCTAAGCCATGAAGGGAGGGTCAGTTGACTTCAACATGGCTGGCTGGGGAATTCTGGGAGTTGAAGTCCACTCATCTTAAAGTGGCCAAGTTTGGACAACACTGCCCTAAGCCATGAAGGGAGGGTCAGTTGACTTCAACATGGCTGGCTGGGGAATTCTGGGAGTTGAAGTCCACTCATCTTAAAGTGGCCAAGTTTGGACAACACTGCCCTAAGCCATGAAGGGAGGGTCAGTTTCTATAGTAGTTAGAAACCAGGAGACTGTGAGTTAGGCATGAAGCCAGCTGGGTGACTTTGGGCCAGTCAATCTCTCTCAGCCCTAGGAAGAAGGCAATTCAAAGCACTTAGAGGTATCACATGTATCTGGGCTTCATAAATTCTTCAGAAGAAATACTTTGGAATGCTCAGTAATATATGACACACCTCTTTTTGAAGTGCTTTTTGAACAGCTTTGGGTTTTTCCCCCCCAAACTCACATAGATTCTTTAGAAGCTACCTCTGCCTGTCTTTGCATACAGGTACATACACATCCACTTCTCTTTGAGACCACCTTTAGATATATACAGGGAGATAGCAGGAGTAGCATCCAAAGCCGCCATATGTGCCAGAAGAAGTTGTAGCTGCTTCAAGTATTCAAAAAAAGGTGCTTCATTTTCACTCCCACATACTTCAAAATACCCCTTTCAAAGAATTTGCCCAGCTTTGCTATGTATTTGATTTTGAAAGTAGTTCTTTGAGCAAGATTGTTTTCCCCCTATTTTTCTTGTATTTGGCTATTTTTATTAATATCAACCAATGAAAGTAATAATCAATAACATTATCATTACTTTAATCTGACAATTGTTTATTGACAAGCTAGATGTAAAAAAATGGCCGGCAACTGAAAACACATGTAATCTTGACTGGAACCATAGCGTAGATGGTAGAATGCTTTCAACAGTGTCCTTCACTTGTCTCCTGCCAAAAAGTGGTCCACTGTTATTCTCATAATATGTCTCTCAAAGAGTATCTCTTAGGTGTTGGAATAGGCAAAGGCAATATGCCCCATGAGCTACTAAGATCGCTTGGTCTCAGTGTCATACTAAAAATATATGTGGAGTTTCTGGAAGGGAACAGAACACTATTCCTTACTGCTTCCTGTAACTACACTTTTCCTCCATGCTTGTACAGGCATTTATGTTGAGCTTTGCCTTCACCAAGCTTGACACACCTATCTACATTATCTTTCACTGAGTAAAACACTATTTAGATGCTAACTGGATGCTTTCTTAACTTCTGCACAATCACTTTGCAAGCAGTTTTGGGCCCACGCTCCACAGCAACACAACTCCATGAGGTAGAAAGGCCACTAGGTGTCACTGTTTTGTTAAAAATATATGTAGCAAAATAGGGAAGGGCTGGAGCATTCTGTTTTTCTACTTCCTGTGTCTGCACCCTATGTGTATGCCTCTATGTATACTCTGAATCTTGACTTTTCACCAAGCTTGCCATGCCTGTCCAAATTACCTTTTACCAGGTCAAATGCACTAAAAGGCTACTGTCTGGATTTTTTATTAACTGCTGCCCTATAGAATCTAGTCTGTGACAATAGCTTTAAAACAAACTCTGTCGTTTGACCCTGAGTACAGTAAGAGGCAGTTCCTATCTTCATATATCTTTTTTATCATATTTTTTAAATACACAATTCTCTGTCCTTGCTTCAGGACAGGAATGGTGTTGTATTCTTCTTCTGCTCTTAAGAGTGACATACAATGGGGTATACTTACTATAAGTCAGGATAAATTTTAAAATGCATTTTTATTTTACAATTAGTTTATTCAGTGTTTCCTTTATTTTCAAGGATTAGCCATTTGTCAACCTACTTAAGGTATTTAAAGTTAATAAACAGATTTACTATAGCACTATGATTCTATAAGGGGCAATGGGATTGCCTGAAATCCATTTGTGCCTGTAGAAATATTTAAACCATTTGAATATTAGTAAGTGTTTTACACAAATCTTTAGCAAGCACTAGAAGCAAGGAGGTACATAAGAATAGTTTATATATTGTAACTATATACTTCAAGAGGCTTCAAGAGGAAATTGGTCAGGGCATCTAGAATTTGCTGAAGCTGTGGTTTAATATTTAGCATGTACAACATAGCAACTTTCAAAACTTTATCTTTATAATTAATTTGTATCCAATCACATTTATGATCTTGTATTTCCTTGGTGCTTGATTATAAATATACCCTGTTTCCTGTGTATTGGGGTCTTGCCCATGGAATGTTGCTGAACATATCCAGGAATGCTTGACCTGGCTTTGCAAATTCATAATATAAATTTAAACTTGAAGGGGTTGTAGAGCTTGGATGCTTTGAGGAGGATGAGAGCTATGCCAGAGGTTCAACCATACTGGACTGGTGTCATTACAGGAGCCAGATAAAGAGTGTTTATCCCATAAATAATATGGTGAGATGTAATTTACAGAAACCTATACCAGATCAGTTGTTGCCTGGGTCAACAAGGACCATGCTATGTGTTCTAGTTCCTGGAGATCTGGTGACAAGTGGACTACAGGACTCAGGACTGTTGGCTGAGCAACCAGGGCCAGCAGGACTACTGGAAGAAAAGTTTTTTATCTGTCACAAATATGACTGAAGATTGAAAGACTGAAAACAAAGAAATAATGATCTCCTATTACAAATTAAGTCCAGTAAGATCAGGATATCTGAAAAGAATGCACCAGTTTTGGAAAGAACATAATCCAGAATCAGAAATAACAGAATAGAGGCTAGCAGATCAATGTCGATTTGTAATATGAAATAAAGTATTCACAGAAGTAGAATTGGAAGAACTACAAAGGTCTACCCAGGGCAAAGAAATTGAAGCCTTGCCAGAAGTAGTTCAGACTGTAAAATCCAGAATCAGAAATAACAGAATAGAGGCTAGCAGATCAATGTCGATTTGTAATATGAAATAAAGTATTCACAGAAGTAGAATTGGAAGAACTACAAAGGTCTACCCAGGGCAAAGAAATTGAAGCCTTGCCAGAAGTAGTTCAGACTGTAAAGGCAAACCAGGGAGAGTTGGCAGTAAGCTATTGAGTTGTTTTCATTCCCAAACCAGGAACCCTCTCCTCTGCCTTCTCCTCAGAAAGAACAAACCCCTCTCACTAAAAAACAAGAGGAATTGAAACAAAGAATAACTGAACACTTAGAACAGCACAAAAAGAACAGAGTAAAGTTGAAGCTTGTTACAAAGAAACAGCTAGCACAAGCATTAAAAGATGCCAATACTGTAATATCAAATATAAGCACCAGCTCACTGCAAGAAACAAACCAGCTAATGTACACCATGGCTGCACCTATAACTGAATACCTT